TTGCACATTATTGATATACTGCACAATTCCCTAGCATATATTGCACAAAAACAGTTGTAAACAGGAAAAAAACAGATGTAAGCAGAGAGTTTTATGTTTAGTCAAAAAACAGGTCAATGTTGCCCCTGCCCAGACACACAGTGGATGAGTTGTACAGTCCAGACAAGAATGTGCAGTACAGTCCAGGCAAGAATGACCTTCTGTAGTGCTCTCTGTTGCCCCGTGGTTGGATCAGCCTATTGCTGAACGTGCTCTTCATTCACACAAGCATGTCATAGAGGGGATGGGAGACGTTGTCCAAGATGGCCATTAATTTGGACAACATTCTCCTCTCAGCCACTACCTCCAACGGGTTCAGCTCAGACCCAATGACAGAACTTGCTCTTTTGATGAGCTTGTTCAGCCTCCTAGCATCCCCTGCTCTAATCCCAGAGCCCCAGTACACCACCGTTTAGAAAATGGCACTCGCTACAACCAACTGATAGAACATATGGAGCATATGAAGGATGCACATTGAAGGACCTGAGCCTCCTCAAGAAGTAAAGTCGGCTCTGACCCTTCTTGTATATGGCCTCAGTGTTCTTAGACCATTCCAGTCTATCGTCAATGTGCACTCCCAGGTACTTGTATGAGTCCACTATCTCCACGTCAGTCCCATGGATGCAAACCAGAATAGGTTGGACCCTCTTCCTCCTGAAATGTACAGTATCACCAGCTCCTTCGTCTTTGCCACGTTCAATTGCAATTGGTTCTTCCCACACCATTACACAAACACTGGTTAACCACTACAGAGGGTTAACCAGCCCTCTGTACTCTTTCCTCCTGCCCACCCTTGAAACATCCCACAATTGCAGAGTCGTCTGAGAACTTCTGCAGGTGGCACGACTTTGAGTTGAGTTGTTTGAGTCCGAAGTATAGAGGGTGAAGAGGAACGGCAAAAGAACTGTCCCTAGGGGAGCCCCCGTGTTACTCACTACCTGTTCAGACACTGCAAATTGACCTGTAGCAGGGTGACTCATAATAGTATTATTTAATACTACTACTTTTTGGTTTACCATGTATTACAGAGCGTAAGCAAATTTTTCATGTTTGACAGATATTTGTTTCTCATTTATATTTTAGTGTAGAATCAAACCCGCATTGAAGAAGGGTGCACTGTACTGATGTTGTCTGCACATTGAGTAGTATTCATTTAACTCACTGAGCCTTATCTTCCGTGCCAATAGGATTAAGGTTATTCCGTTTAAGAACTAACCTTTAATGTAGAACTTGAACATGTTTTCTGAGAATTTCTGTAAATTTCCCACATCATATACCCAACTCGGATCTGTCATTTTTTATTGTAGGATTAGCCTTTGAAATGTACATTTATTTATGATCATATTACAGTATAATTAATTTGACACTAATGTCTTCATAACTTTACATGCAATAGTGATAAGGTGATTGGCTATACATATTGTGTTTGATTGTAGATGGGTTTAATGTTACAGGCAGTGTGTGGTGCTTTTGTTCTTTGTTGGCTTGTTTGCAAGGATTGGCGTTTGAAAGATGAAGTCAGGAATGGAGTGTGTTTCAGGTCATACTTCTTTCTGAAAAATATGAAGAAGCCAACTAGCTTTGTTTGACAGCAGCTAAATGATCTATTATCTTATCCACCTGTTTTTTAAAGAAGCTACAATTTCCACTGTGACGGTATTGCTCAGTATGTGTCTCCGACTTACTGACGTTAATTCTTTCTATTTCTATTTCTCTTTCTTTCTGCTAGGTAATTGCTTGCATAGTAGTTGGCTTCAGTTCATGGATTGCACTCCCACTAATCCCCTGTGGAAATCTGAACCGGAGGTCGGGATCAGAATGGATGAGAATGGGGATGAGGTGCCTGTGATGGTAATCAATTGGAGAGCACAGATTGATGGTAAAGTCTGACGTACATCTACAGAGAAAACCCCCTGCAATACATGCAGAGGCACCTGCTTTCCAGTGGTGAAAGTTTCTTTCACATGTTGTATAACTCACAGGTGTCCGTTCAATACTAATGTTCTGGTGGCAGTTGCGATGTATATAGTGATATGTTCCTGGGTGTCACTCCTCCTACACTAGTAAAAGTGTTGCTGTGGTGAGACAAATGGATTAAGAATAAGAAATTCCATATTTATAAAAGGTTATGGAAGAAAACAATATGTAATATTCCAGAAATTACTAATTAAAGAGTGTATGACTAAAACATACTGTGATGAAAAGCACCATACATCCACCATACCTGCTGATCTTGCTACTTATCTGATCTTCTGCCTCCAACACAACCATTCATTTTCTTCATCATTCTTCCTGTGGTTTTCTGACTGTCTTCCTATCCCCCTTCCTCTGCTTCTCTAGTTTTTAAAACTAATTTACCAATCAGTTAATTTGCCAGTCATTATCAATAATATTAAGTTAACTGTAGTTAAACCTCTATTGTTTTAACTAAGGTTTGTAACTCCCTTAGTCAAAACAATAAATAATACATTTAAATATACTGTCAAAATTGATTGCATATGTCGCATAAAATGATGAGATAATGGAAGGATGTATTTCACTATGGGGGTATGACCTCGTTGACATTTTTCAAATTGGATTGTGAATCTTATTCCACATTTTCACAAAAGTCTTCAAAACTGTAGATCATACTGTGAAAACACCATATCTTTCCTAAACATCTTTTGTTCTAGTTTTGTGGACTAAAAATCAATTGCTAACGATATTTGTTTTCTTGTTTCAGGAAGCATTCGATGTCTGAATGGGACACAGGTTCATGTCCTGAAGTTATCCAACAATGATCACTTCTGTGTTCAGTTTATCTTCCAAAATGAACTGAAAAACATGTTAAATCCAGATGGGAACGCAGTAAGAACCTATAAATCTGTAATATGTATTATGATTCCACACTCTCACCACCCCTTGGGCAGCTTTATATGATTCAAAAGCCAATTTAAAATATTTTTGGATGTCTAGATTATTTTGTCAGTGCATAACCCATCATCTGGTAATATTTTTTTTTTTGCAGTGGTCATTTTCATTGGACAGGATTGTTGCTGAGCCGGGACACACATATATGATCTCTGTGTCTAACCTGCCTAAGCCCAACATAGGGGCTGACTATTACCACATCGCAAAAAATCTTTCAGTTCCAGGTAAGAGAGAAAGGTCACATCAAAATAAAGTTAATGATTGTGATTGTTTACTTCTTTTAACTAAAGTGTGATAAAAATCCGCTCTGAAAATTTTCTTCAACAGAGGCCCTCTGGATTTACAGTAGTTAATTTCTTAAGTACTAATATTTAATTCACTACCAAAATACACCGTGTATATGTGGTATACTGTATATTCACATGCATGTTCAGTAAAACATTATGTCAAACACTGTTGGGTACAAATAATATGCCAGTGGTCAATATTAACAGTTGAAATGATTAATACATTTAGAAGAACAAGTGGCCTGCTAAAAATGTTCTCTTATGCATTGTTAAGGTGGTCAAATTTGACACTAACAATCTTTCAAACAGTCTGTATTGTTGACATTAGCTGAAATCAAACATTACAATGTTGGCAGACATTCTAAAGAACAATGGGACCGGACTGGTCATCATAAATAATTATGGTACCTTGTCTCGTGCTTTAATATTTAAAAAACACGTTCCAGTGTCACCAGAGACACTCAATATATAAAATATAAATATATATCTACAAGTCCATTCAGATTATATTTTGAAGGTTTTTTTTCTTTTCTGTGAATAGTTTTTCATAAATCCCCTAACTAAATACTATATACCCTCTACTAACTTAGCTATCAAAACACCTGTTTCAAACCTGTTCAATTCAGTTTTATTTGTATAGCGCTTTTTACATTGGACATTGTCGCAAAGCAGCTTTACAGATTTCCGGGCCTGAACCCCCAGTGAGCAGGCCTAAGGCGACAGTGGCAAGGAAGCACTCCCTTAGACTAAAGTAGGAAGAAACCTTGAGAGGAACCCAAGTTCGAAAGGGAAAGCCTATCCTCCTCTGGCCGGCATCGGATTAAATTAGAATGAACACATATGAGAGTCGTCTGTATTCTATTACATGGTGGGAAAAGCACAATCCTGTATGGTAATGTCCAACAGTGTCAGGAATGCTCAATTGGTTTCCTGCAGTTGAGATTTCTCTGAAAAGGCCATTGTAGAGGACTGGCTGTTAATTTTACGACTGGTAAAAGGAGCTGGATTCTGGACCTGGGCCTCCAAGCAGTCCACCTCAGAATGGATGGATAGAAAAGAGATATTGTATTAGCGAATAACAATGAAAACAGAAATTGGTAGTTTGCATGTCTTGCTATTCCTAAGTGTTTATCTGAAAGCTTGACTAAACAAACTATCCTATAGTGACTTTAAAATAAAACATTTTGGAGGGTCATGCAGTGTTTCTGAACTACTGGGTAATGTCTTGACTAGTCCTGTCTGTTATTGTCTTCTGAGCATTCTCTAACAGTTTTATGACATTTGTGCTTTGCTGTATTTTTGGCAGAGTGCAGTGACCACAGGATAAGGAGAACTAAATTGTGTCAGCAAAAAGGTGAGTTCAGTCCTTCAACTGCCAACCAATAATGTGCATGTCATTCGGACCACCCAGTTACCTACTGTATCCCCTACAAGACTCAGGCAAGGAGCAGCCTACTCTATACAGTATGTTCATGAAAGAAAACAATAGGCAAGAGCTCAGAGTGGAGAGTGAGCCCTATTCTGAACCTGACAGCTAAGTTCCCTAAGTTAATCAAAATTAGGTTTGTGAGGGTTTTAGTAACCCCTCTGGTTGGTTATTTCACCACTTAATAACTCAGTGGTGAATTGCACTTGCAGCTGACAAATACAATGACCCAAATTGTTTTTGTCATTTGGTACCTACCTTAATTAAAACTAAAAAGTTTAAATTGCACTGCATTTACAATCATCTCACTTTGATACTTTTTGTACAGAAGATCTAAATGCCAGTATGTACAGTATCAGTATCTGAGGACGTATGGTCAAGAATAGCCAAAAGACATTTTCCTGTATCTAAAAATTGAATTGCACTGCTTTCTTTCTGTATAGGAAGCCTATGGGAGTCCAATATTAACTTGGTTGTTAGTGGAGAAGATGCCACCATTCATTTTAACACTGGGAACTACTCTGAGAAGTATGTTGTGTTCTTCAAGTGCTCTGAAAATGATAAGGATCACAAGTCAGTTATGAAGGTATTGTCTATATTGTATATAATTATATATAGTCCTTTAGTTGTGTCACACAAACGATTGGTTGATTTGCAAGTTCTTTGATTCTGGAAAGTGTGAAATTCAACACAAAATAAACTAAATGACATGCAGACTTAGAGTGTCTTTTGTGAGCTGTTCAATAAATTAATGATTATTCCAGAATGGCGAGATCTGTCTTGTTAGGAGAATTAAATATAAAGGAATTGCAAAAGCTCAACATATCAAAACGGCTTTGGAAAGAACACAGGGATTTTGGATTTGTTCTCTTTTTCTCTACAAAAACATATGAACATTACCTGGAATTATATCAAATGTTGAGAGTTTAACTTGAAAAAGTACATCTATACCACGATCATTATTTAAAACATCCTTCTTGATTACAGTAAATAATTAAACAGAAAACTCATTAAAACGTTTCTCTACACTGTGTTGATCCCTGAACAATTAAGATAATTCCCTGTGCAAATTTACTCTGTCCCTGAACATAAAACGGTTTTCCTTTTATGACAAGCAGTCGTTTTACAGAAACGTAAATCTCTTACAGTGCCTTAACTGACTTTGTCATCCAGTTAAAACTATTCAGTAAAACTTGAACAAAAATAATAGCAAAGCCCCTTGCAAAACACTAAAACATAAAAACAACCTTAAAAATGACTAGAGAATTTCTAGGCAGTATCTCATATTGCATTAGCTGCTTGTTCCCGATTTTGCAGACTTCACTGCAAACTTTTTTTGTTTAAATCTTTTGTAAATCTTTTTTTTACATTCACATGTGTGGCAAGACACTGCAGGTATACTGTAGTTCTGCTTAAATTTTAGATTCAAATCCTTCATCTCCTTGTAAAGAGTTAACTAGGTCAGCAAAATGGTTAATAAATATATTTTATTATTAAACAAAAATATTTGTTCACTTGAGTTTGTCTTAATCTTTCAGGAGAATCAGACGTCACGCAGTGTGACATTTTCCTTGTCAAAATGGTCACCAACATGCTGTAATTTCAATGTGGAGGTATGTTTTAATTAGTATGTTTCAATAGGTGAAATAAAGTGACCGTAACTGTTAAAAATGAGTTGTTGCACAGGACTCCAAGCTAGTCAATGTGATCTGCATGCTTTTCACAGTTAATGGAATTTAGAACATGTGCAACAGTTACTGTACTCTTCACAAAATGTCTTATATACTATACTAAGTATGGAGTGCTAAAGATTGAATATTTTTTATTACTCTATTCTTTTTGATAGACATTAAAAACAATTCTTCACATAACACTGTTGCAAGATCAAGTTAAGCATTTTTGCATTAGGCAATATGATCATGCTGTTTTATCGCTCAGATATCTCATAGAGAACTGAGCATTCTTCCAGAAAAACAATTAAAAACACTTTTTATGTTATAAATTAAGAAAATACATTCCAAATAAAATAGTAAATTAATAAATAATCAAAAGAAATAAATGAAACTGTAATTTTTCTTGCCTAATAAGAGTTTAGATATACTGTAAATATTCAATACAGTATAATTGTTAATAGACATTGACCTACTGTTGTGACCTACAGTATATTAATCATTTGAAAGTTTAGTTAGTTATAGTCATGCAAGTCACCAGGTAGTTATACCAACCTACAGTATTTACACTCCAGCCTTCCTCCTTTCTCCTCTTTCATACAGGTTCAGCCCTTTTTTGTAGGATGTGAAAATGACTGTATTCGACACAGGAAAAGTTTCAGCTTCTGTCAAGGTATGTTTCAGAGCCCAGAGGAAAGAAACAAATCATTTGACATGTGTAGACTGTATCATGTAGAGAAGCAGCCACTCAGAATGTGTGGTATTTCTTCTAAATAACACACTTGTGGTGCATTAGATGTTAGTGAAATGATTGCTTCATTTAATATGTTTCTCTACCGTGCATGTTTAAACCCACTTAGTATGGAATATTAATATGAACTTTTACAACTAAAGGCACATTTTGGTAGCTGAGCATAAAATAACAGAAGCATAACATCTCTGATTGTCATAATATTAATTTAGGAATATAAATCTATTATACATTCTGTATATGGCTAATAAAGTAAAAGTAAAAAATAGTACACAACAGTATTCCATCTTCTTCATAAACATTGTATGCATCAAAGTCTTTAACCCAGTCACTTACTGTGGTTATTTTGGAAAAGTTTTGACACGCTTTCTGTGACTATATTAAGTTTATATACTTTATAAAAAGCTATAATATTTTAACCTTTTGTAGGAATACTTGTCATTATTGTTGTAAAAACATTGTACTTTTTAAAATCCACTTAATTAAGGAATATGAATATGGACTCATGTAATTAAATAAATTAATAATATTAAAGATCTAATTATAATTTGTTTATATTGCTGGTAGTAATACCATATTCCACTATCTCCGTAAACATCTGCATGAATTTCTTTCACTCTTTCACTTGTGATTATTTTGGAAGCATTTTGACATGTCAGTTACAGCTACTGTACAGTATGTTACAGAGCGATGCTTTGATACAGTGGGGTAAGTGCATGCCTGTCACCCAGAAGATCCCTTGTTTGATTCCCAGTCAGGGCACAAGTTTTATTTTTAACAAAAAGATTCTCTAAAAATAAAATGGTAAATAATATGTATGCTACTGTATATTGACATTTTTATATTTATATTTCACAACATGTTAAATATTAAAATGATATTCATAAATTAAAAACATGAATGAGTTAGCAAATGTGAATACTGTCAATGGTGGGAGTAAAACACAGTTCTACCAGGTTGCAATAAGCCTTCAAAGGAACTATATATATATATCTTATCATTATAATCTTGAAATAACGAAGTGGTATGAAAAAGATCACTGAAACTGAAGTATAATAATTTCTCTGATCATTAGCAATGTATTAATCATGAATAATAATTTCAAACTGCTTATATTTTGTTCAGGGTGATCGGTCACTGTTTTAACAACCTTTGCTTTCTTATTAAAAAGACACGAAGTTGCAGATGTCAATAAGTTTGCAAACAAATGACACAGAGCCTTCAAACCACAGTTCCCTATTCACTGACTGAATATGGCATTATCCTTGTTACATACAGTATGGCACACATGATAGATATATTTGTAGAGAGCAAATGAAGCCTAAGTTTGTGTTATTTTTCTCACTTTGCAGTAGAACACATGGCAACAAAAGGTAAGAACTTAAAAAAACATTATATCAAATATAGAAGTCATTTACTGGAAAAGAGTCCTAAAATGAGTTTCTTTCTTCATTATACAGGTACAGATGACCCAAATGTACAACCAAACAAGTTTCCTTACTGGGTAATTCCAGCACTGGGAGGAGTTCTTGCTTTGGTCGTGGCTTGTTTCTTCTTTTTAGTGTGCAGAAAAAGAAGAAAAGGTTTGTAAAAGTATCACTGTTATAATGAACCTACTGCATAAGAAACCACTCTGGTGTGAAAGAAGAATTTGGTGAAATGTTGAAATACGAGATTTGCAGAAACACTTAGAGGCATTTCTTTGTTGATATTCTCTGAAATGTTAACTGTCCAATGGCTTCTTGCCATGCGAATTAGACAGTTTTAACAGTCTATTTTCTGCTATATCTGGTTACAGTCCTGTCTTCATATTACAAAACATGTCAAAGAGTGCAAGTGGTTTTTGACCACTTCTTCTGTCTTTTGAGAATCTTGTAACAAACCGAATATGTGTCAAAAGCCATTTACTACTCTTCACACTTTTAATTAAATAAAAGTGTCTGTGTCTGACATTGTTATTGGAAAGTCGCTGTAATAGCATGGCCATAAATGTGTAACAAATGTATATTGTAAGTTAAATGCTTTAACGACACAATACAAAAAATGATTATTCTAGGTTCTGCAGTTAAAATCTGCATATTGAAAGCTTGGTAAAAGTGATGTAAACTCTATATCGGATACCGTTTTCTGTCTCAAACTGAAAGACTTCTTTTTTTGTTTCAGAGCTGGCAAAACTTGCAACTCCTTCAGAAGGTGAGCAAACATTCCTGGCTCTTTTAACACACTTTTCTCTACTGAGAGGCATTAAATGTAACTAATGAGTATTGTGGCGAATAGCTTATGATACATTTTTAATGTCTCTCACTATATATGGATTTTAAACGAGTCAGTCATTTTTTCACTTTGTATATTCTCTTAGAGAGAATATCTTATTTTACTGTCAGAACCTTAACACAAGCCTGGAGAGTCAAGAGTAGCTGTCATGTATCCTCCAAAACCTGTGTTGCATCTGTTTCCACAGTGGGATAGTTACAGTAGCACTGAATAAACAGAAAGCCTCAGACCTGCAGGTCTTTGGCATCTGCAGTATTAAAGGTGTATATCAACATAAGGAATTAACAGGCAACACCACCCTAACCTTCGTAGCTGTGCTTGTCCAGCTGTGCTTCAAGGCTCAACAGTGGCTCAACCTGGATTTGATTAAGAATTTTGCACTGGATTATTAGGAGCTTCTTCCTATTTTGTTATCCATAACTATTACATTCAACCAATTTGAGTGTGTGTAGAGTATCAATAACAAGAGAGTGGCTGTGTTCTTAATGGTGCTTCAAAAGAGGGACATCCTCGGCCACATAGGGGCTTTCGTATTAAGGATAATTTCTTAAAGAGGACTTCCCAGATGTAAAGTGAAGTTAAAAAGAATATTTAGATGTTTCTGCATATCACTGAAAGGCACGGCATAGTAAAAAAAAAGGTTGATCATGAGTTGTAATGTAGAAAATGGATAATGTTAATGTAGCAGAGCTCGGTGATTTTTCTGTACAGCTTTTTTTTTAAAGAGATTTTGAGGTATACATATCTCAAAGCATTTACCAGTCCTGTGAAATCAATATCTTTCATAAATTAGCTCAAAATGTGAAAATACAACACGTGTATTACATGTCTTGCATCAATAACGCTGCTTCTGTTTGCAAAACCAAAATACCGATCTGAAGTAAAGTGATATCATTTGGTATTTGAATTGAGTTAAAATGATCAAAATGAGGTTATAAAGAATATTTAGAGTCGGGCTATATCCTGCATGTTAGGAGTTTACAAAAGTAGGCCAGAACAATTACAATCATCTAAACTATTTAGACTTTAGTGACTCCTGCATAAGAACTTTCAGGAAAAAATAACTCGGTATGAATGCAGTTTGCCGTCTGTATCCCAGGAGGCCTTTAGAGGGCAAAGTGTTGACTGCTACAACAGTTTTATCTTCTGTGAACCAGGGAAGCAGTCAAACATCTTGATGGTGGAATGTTTTATTCGCAGATGAATCTTGTATGGGGACATTATAATGAGCCTTATGTTGACTGCTGCTTTGTTCAGTTAAACTGGTATGGCAGTGGGAAAGAGACTCCTTTAAAACAGTGCAGATTGAAGGCGAATTAACTTCTGAGTGATACATTGACGTTATCGTGTTCTGGAGCCAACATTTTTTTCTGGTCCTGTAAGACAATCTGGAATTGTTGACTTTCCTGCGGAAAATTGCAAGATCACATGGCTGTAGGATTTCAGTGGCACAGCTTCAAGCATACAATGTTGAGGTCTTGTTATGGGTGCTTCCTCTCCCGACCCAAGATGAATCAAACATATATGGGACCCAATTACCATATTCTGTCAAGGCATAATAACTGTTTGCACACTTTCACCAGCTAGCTGCAGCGTCAATGGGACAAATGTCAGATCATCCCAGACTGTCTTCCAGAGGCTCATGAACCCTATCAGTGCTATCAAGATTGCATTAATGCTCTTCATTGTCATTGTGGATTGCTTCATTATGATTTCATTATGGCAGTATGTCATATTTCACACTGAAAACCTATCACAACTGTTTAATATGAACTTTTGTTCACATTATTATATTTGATTTCTATTTTTAAAGCATATTATTAAATCTAATGTCATTAGTTTAAATGTGACACACGTTTTACATTTCCTCTGTACATCCACTTTTGAAGTTAGAATAAGTTAGAAGTAAGAAATTGTAGTTCTTTTCCACTACTCATACAAATGCACAAAATGTCAGACCCTGTATTAGTTATTTGCAAAGCAAAAATAATTATGTGACTTTGAAGACTTTGTTGCACTAGTTTATGATTGATACACTTTTGACTCCCCTTTAATACACCCTATTTATTTCAGGTGTGGAACCATTAATCCACAATGTAAACCTGGATGCCCCAAGGAGACCAAGGAAGGTTCTTATTCTCTACTCATTAGACCATCCCTTGTACAAAGAAATTGTGCTCAAGCTCTATGCCTTCCTGAAGGCAGAATGCGGCATCGAGGTCATTCTGGATCTACTGGACACCACTTGGTTAGGAGTTGTAGGCCGCATGCAATGGCTGGATTGGCAGAAACAGCAGATCGAGAAATCATCCGACAAAATCCTAATCCTTTGCTCACGGGGCATTCGGGCAAAGTGGGAAGCAATGTGTGGCAACGGGAAGGTGTTACTGAAGGAGGACGTCCGCTCTTCCATGGGAGATATGCTCACCCCAGCCCTTAGTCTCATCATCCCCGACTTCCTGGGGTCAGCGTCATTTGGAAAGTACATGGTGGCATATTTTGAGGATGTGAGCTCTGAGCAGGATATCCCCGGGCCCTTCCGCATTACTGTCAAATACAAGCTAATGAAGCACTTTGAAGAGATCTACTTTCGCATTGTGGACAAGGAGAAGCATGAGCCAGGAAGAATTAACCGTGTGGAAGGTATATCACAGGATGAGTACTGTAAAAGGCCCTGTGGGAAAGCTTTGCAGGATGCCATTGACGCTTTCCAAGCGTATCAGGTGGAGAATCCAGACTGGTTTGAACAGGAGTGTGTGGACAGCGAGGAGGAAGTAGCAGAGTCCTACCCTGTGGATACTGCTGCCAACTCTGTTCTTTGCTGTGTGCCACAGTTAAAAGAAGGGCTGCCCATCCTCATTAATGAAGTAGGAATACTTAGGGACACTGAAGAACTTTATGCGGTGACCCCCCTTGTACAAGACGAAGGGGAAAGCTTATTGTCATGTGTGGTTCTCCCAGGCGTTCATCCAGATAACTATCAGGTATTGACATCTCAGCCAGTCATTCAAGATACTCCTGGCATCTTGAGACTTGAAGTCAATTCTTCACCCCTACAAAGGCCAGAATTCCTGATAGCTGAACCAGCAGTGCAAGATCCACTTATTCCAGAAATGAATTATCTGCAGCTGAAGGAGGAGATAGCAATGCAGAATGACCCTTTGAATAGCAATGAACAGTCACCCCTGACACCAAGTCATCTCTCACCTGAAGTGCTTAAGTCCTTACATGCTCTCCAGCTATCACAGGGTTCCTTTGCAGAGCCACCTCTGTCTTCTTTAGAGGATGGGTATGAACTGAAGGAACAAGGCAATAGAGAACTGGGGCTATACCATGGAAAGAGGCCATCAAGTGGATCTGACCAAGGCTATATCTCAAGGAGCTCCCTAACCCAGGACTCCTCAACTGGAGGAGATATGTGTGATCCTTTGATTGAATTAAGGCGACTGCAGGAAGAATGTTTCCTCAACAGTCTGAACACCTAAGTCCTTGATACTGTTTGTTAAAACAATTTTTTTTTTAAACTTGGAGATCAGTAAATGGGAGAATCACTTCCATCTTAAACAATGAAATTGTTGACAAACTGAAATTCTGTCCTTTAAAAATCAAATTGGATCAGAGGTTTAACAACGATTTAGTAGATTTGTATTAAATACATTTAAAAGCCTTCGCTTAAATATTCTAAGGAGATAATGCTGCCATAGGTTATGATGAAAATGCATTAATTCACAGACGGTGCAAGGATTTCCTGTTATGAAATCTAGGTTTTGCATATTGCATGTAAATGTATAGTTGATGTTGCATCTAAAATGAGACATATACATGTCAAGAAGTGGGTGTGTGGGGGAGCAAGATTGCAGAGGGGGCTGATTAAACAGTGTGATGCTAGAAGGTATGGCTAAAGCAATCTACTATTACTGTAACTAACTCAATCCTCAGTAATAAGTCTGAGAAGTTTTAGTTGAACTACAAAATATGCACCGGCGACAACCTAGACTATTTGAAACAATATAACGACGAATACTATAAAAGACTTTGCGCGATGAAAACAGTGGAAACGCCAAAAAGTGAAAGAGCTGGCAAAATTTACGGCATTCCTCTACAGATATAGAAGGACTGTCTGTAGGGGTTAGTGTTAGTGTATTTCTGTCCATAAACTCTGAAACCCTTGATTACGGAATATATTCTTCATAAGAAAATATAAGGTTTGAGAAATAATTTGGAATTTAAATCGAATCGCTCTGTAAGGTAAACCAAACCCTAAAGAACACCATTAAACACTCGCGACACAAATGGATGTTGTAATGAATGTAATGTATGATTCTTGACATAAGGTACAATCTTTTCAAGACTACCCGAAATCACACCAGATAATTCAGAAAAAAAAATTGAACATGTCATGCACAATCAACTAAAGCTACCAACAGAGACTGTACAGGAAATAACATCTCACAAGGCGCGCTGTATAGGAAGAAAAAATGCAAACGCCAATCGCCCCAGACTTATTGCTAAGTTTGAACAGTACAAACAAATAAGGATAAGGAGCCAACAGGAACAGACTATGGCCTTACTGACCAATTTCCTTGTGAAATACATCGGATATGCAAAAATCTGTTCCAAATTAAAAAACAATTTCTGGAAAAAGGGAAGTGCGGAGTTATCATGGTGGATAAACTCTATGTGGACGGATGGCCTTAGCGTGACAGAGAAGTCACCCCTTGGTTAGTATAAATTCTGCTGAACAATAGAGGAAGAAGCAATGCTTAATGCAGTTAAAAAAAAAACCTGTAGCGCAAACTCTGTTAAATTACTGTATACCTCGATCCAAACCCTGCTCCTGTTGCTGTTGCTTGCATGTTGTGTCCTGCATTTGTTTCAGTATTTTGTCTTTATTCATATATTTGTTTAACATTAATGGGGATTTGATTGCTGTTGTGCTTGTTTTTATATCCGATATGTTTCTTTATTGCTGTGAGTATTGTTATAATGATATGGAGGGAGGAACACTATTAAGAGAGGAAATGGATATTAAGGGGTATTGTACAGTATGTCTTGAATATGACTAGAATAACTGTTGACATTTTTTTGCAATGTAAAATTTAATAAAGTAACAATGTAAATTACATTTGTAACCTGGAATGTAAGTGGTATCAATTCACGAGCAAAAAGACTTAAGATTTTCAATCACTTAATTTACAAGCTGACATATGCTAAATACAACATTTAGCAAAATCAGAGCATGAAATATGAAAATACTCACAATTCAATCAAACAATTTCAGTGAATTATAAATCAAAGCAAAGAGGTGTCTCCATTTTGATAAATAAAAGAATACCACTAATCCAAAAAAACTACCATTACTGACCCCAGTGGTCCCTACGTTATAATTAGTGCCTCCATTAACAACATCACAATTGCAAACATTTACAGACCAAATAATGATGACCATTCTTTTTTCATGCTCTGTCATTAACTGAGTTTTCAAATTCAATAATTATAATTGAAGGTGTTTTTAATCAAGTACCTCAGGTAAGTCAAGAAATTGGCACTCCACTGAAACACTAAAGCAGTGCATGAAGACTTTGGTCTTGGCAATAGTTGGCGATTGAAGAACCCATCATCAAGGGATGATTCTTAGTTCTCACCCCTTCGTCAGTCGTTTTTCTATATTGATTTTTTTCACACTAGTAATTTAATCATATCTGACATTTCAGTTAACCAGAATTGACCCCCATTACAATTAGTGATCATGCCCCAGTGTCCTTCAATTTAAATAGTAATCTAACCAGCGCACTACTAGATGATGGTTTAATACATCGCTGCTAAAAGATGAAGACTTCAATACATTTTTCAAAAAAGAGTGGGCATCCTTCATGGAAAAATTAATTTCCATAAACTTAAT